ATTAAAATAAAGATTATATGGAAGGAGGGGTGGGGAAGTTCCTTTCACAGCATGAGTGCTGATGGTAAGTTTCATTTGGCTGGGATTCAAATCGTTATGGAGGCCCCCCCTCCCAAATGGGCATTGTTTATCGTGCAAAGAGCAATCAATCGTTTTTCGTAACGAGATGATTGGGAAATAATTGGATCCTTTTTTCTGTGAAGATTCAGGGTGAGGTTTTTTTTAAAGTCCCAAATGCCGGTATCTTAGATTTTCAGCTTTGTAATGAAAACTTGCACCAGTTGAAAACAAAAATAATTATTTTCGATGCACATTTCCATTTGGTCAAAAAGCCATTTTTAATTTTCAAAACAATTCAATGGGAATTTTATGCCCACCTCTGTTTATTCCAGTCTCTGCTATGATGGTCACTTGGGCAGAGCCTGATTGTTCTTAATCACTGTAAGCAGTAGTTGGGCCTGCTAATAACTCTGCAAAGATCAATGGTGATGCTTCGACACTATCTTAACTTAACAGTTAACTGGTTAACTGATTAATTGGGATTTTACATCCCTAGTTCCCAGATGCTTCTGTCTAACCATCCATCCCTGTACATCTCTTCTCTGTACCAAGATAAAGCGCCAGAGTTGTAATATTCCTGCATTGGTGACACAGGCTGTGTGGGATTGGCTTCCCCAACGTTAATCAATCTTAGGAAAAACAGCGAGGAGTCCTGTGGTACCTTCAAGACTTAACGCCTTTATTTGGGCCTAAGCTTTCGTGGGCTGGGACCCGCCTTGTCAGTTATGTGACGTGGGAGCTCCTGTCTGGCAGGGATATACACCCATGCAAAGATGGGAGTGTGATGTCACGTTGGGGAAGACCAGGTCTGAGATGGTCCATTCAGTCAGGGTGGATGTGGCCCACTCTCCACAGCTGATGGTGTGGCCACCAAAAAAGGGGAAATGACTCTTTGGCAGGTGTATTGTCTGGTGTACTGACGGTCTCCATTCTTTTCTGTTCCAGCCTGTGACCAGCTTGCCCTGGGGGTGGTAGCAATATTTGGGCCTTCTCAAGGCTCCTGTACCAATGCGGTTCAGTCTATTTGCAATGCCCTGGAAGTCCCCCATATACAACTGCGATGGAAGCATCACCCTTTGGATAACAAGGACACTTTCTATGTCAACCTTTACCCCGACTATGCTTCTCTCAGCCATGCCATTCTGGACCTTGTACAGTATTTGAAATGGAGGTCAGCTACCGTTGTGTATGACGACAGTACAGGTAGGTGAAGGGAGAGCAAAACAGCTCCTCTATTGTGGGTTCCGTTTTTTTCCCCAGTCGCCCTCAGGAATGAAATTCTCAGCTTGTCCCAATTGGCGCCAGTTCCATGAAGGCAGCAGCGTTGGCGTCAATGTACGTGAGCAGAGAATCTGGCCCGGAGTTCTGCCACACAGACACGGAGCTCTGTAACTGAGCCCTGGAAAGCCGTTGTGGCCTGGCTCATCCCATCAAATACAAGGAAGAGGCGCTGTTGCTCGTGGAGCAAAGCACGGCTTTCCAGCTAGGAACCCGGGGGGTGGCTGGTTCAAGAGCATTTCACACAACCAGACAGTTTTCTTAGTGGAAGTGCTGAGGAGAATTCAGTGCGATATGGCTGCCGGCTGGGGCATGTTCAGATGCACTGCTGCTTCCATTTCGCACAAGGACACGTGGCGTTATCTCTGCCCTCTTCTCTTCACTTTCTTCTTGCCGTGCTAGATCCTAATAACTTTAACTAGCTGGGGCCAGCAGAAAATTGTGCTTTCTCCGGAGGAAGGTAATGAATGAAGGGGTAGAATAAAAAGTCTCCGATTATTTTCTTTTTCTGGCCACAATTATGGCAGTAATATAATATGACAGAGGTGAGGCGCTTCTCTTCAGATTGGAATTAATTATCCCCAAAGAGTCAGTTTAACTCAAGTCTCAGTTAATTGGACTTTTCCTCTTCTTTTTTTTAATCTATGCACAGTGAATGAAGCAGATTTTTAAGTTGTGAGCTGGCTGGTTGTCATGCTTTCTCTTTTCCCTAGATCACTTGCTCTTAACTTGAAGGGGCATGACCCCAAGGTCATGGAGGTCATGGAGGTGGACATGACTGTCCTGGCAATCCCATATGGCCCAACAGTGGTGGGGGTGTGAGGGGGAAGTTTGCATACTGGTTAGCTCTCAGCTAGATGGAGGGTGGGCGTTAGGAACGTGGTTCCTGCTATAGTAAACGTTGCAAAACTTCCTGAGATGTGTTTGGAATTTTAATCCACAGCCCAGCTGCACCCGGTGTTTGGCTAGACATTTTAAAAATGCTGCATATCGGGAAGGGGAATTAACTTGTGAAATCAAAGTGTGAATGAAAATTAAGTCGCCCAGTAAAACTTTTTGGAGGAACCCAGTGGAAGTGGAAAGCTAGTGGCAAGAGCAGCCTGCCCTACGTAATGCTGTGGTTTTTGTCTTTTGGAAACTCTGTTGTCTAAGGCCTGATAAGGCTGCAGGAGCTTATCATGGCCCCATCAAGGTACAACATCCGACTGAAGATCCGCCAGCTGCCCATCGACACGGAGGATGCAAGGCCCCTGCTGAAAGAGATGAAGAGAGGCCGGGAATTCCGCATCATCTTCGACTGCAGCCACTTGATGGCAGCTCATATCCTCAAACAGGTGAGCACCGGAAGGGCTGCAGCATGAGGGGTCCCTCAGTTACAATGGGAAGTCTCTAGGGAATTCATGCTCATTTCCTTCACAAGAAATATGGCATTTTCACAGCTGCAAATGGTTGGCTTGGGCTCTTCCAGGCAATGTGGAAAGGCCCCTTCCTCTACTCTTGATTTGTACATCTAAAAATCCAGACTTTCTACAAAGACCTATATTGCAAGATGGTCTGGTTTCACGGCAGAACACTGGACACACATTGGAGCTGCATTGGTAATCCCGACTTGGCTCTTATGCATTCGTATTCAAATTAAGGCTGGCCAAAAACTTTCCATCAAATCTTTTTGGGTGCAAAATTAGGCTTTGGACTCAAATGTTTCAGAAAAGTGTCTGACTTCTGCAGAACATTTCAACTTTTCTTGAAACATCCCCCCACCTCGCCACCCCCAATAATAAAGTAAAAATGTATCCATGGAAAACTCAAAATTTTCCACTTGATGGAAGGGAAGAAATCTGACCAGCTCTAGTTAGAACGTAAATCCAGATCCTCGACTGGTATTAATGGGTGCAACCACCTTGGCTTGAGTCTTTAACTATATCATCACATGCCATTTCTCAGGAAGCCTCTGTTGCAAGTGGCTCTCCGTGACTGGTATTAATGGGTTCAACTGCCTTGGCTTGAGTCTTTAACTATATCATCACATGCCATTTCTCAGGAAGCCTCTGTTGCAAGTGGCTCTCCGGCCCTGCATGAGTGTAACATTTGTTTCTCCCTCTGCCAACCAATGTATCAAATAGAATTCTGCTCTTGGCCACTTCTGTCATTGTTCATTTAGGCCCGTCCCTGCGCAAATGTTCTATTACTTCCTGATTTCATGTTGTCTTTCCATCTGTCCTGCCTCGGGCCCTGTAGGCGCGCACACAGGAACGTTATACGAGCTGCTACATTTTGGGAAGGTCTGTTGTGAGGAAAGCATGTACACACATCTAAGAACATTTTGTAGAAAGCTACATTTTGGTTCAGGTGTGTACACACACACACACACACACACACACACATGCATCTGTTCATAATTGGAATTCCAAGATGACCCCATTTCTTGGTCTTTTGATTGGCACGTTGGATAAGTCTCCGAGTTTGAGCCTAGATATCTGTGATTTCCCATTGACCAGCATTTTTCCTATGGCTTGATTTGTGCCTGTCATACACCAGCCAGCCTGGACTTCACCCCTTCCTCTCCCCCTTCAGTAAATGCCATTATAGTAAGAAATGTCTGCCCTGGGAGAGTTTAAAAAAAATCAGCAAATGTAAGTGTAATTTATCCCATCCCTAGGAGACCCAACATATTGTTTAAATAACTTTTCTGCCCTTGAAGGATTAAGCAGCCCAGCGCACAGGAGAGGGAATTCTGCGAAACCCCAGCGCTACTGCAAAATGAGGGGAAATGGCCTGAGGTTGGAAAGCCAGGGAGGGATTATTTCACAAAGCATCCCCAGCCTATTATTTTAACACGCTGTGTTTGGTGCTGTTCACTTATTATGCAGTTTATTATATTTTATTGTGCCATCTGCTCTGCTCATCACTGTGTATCAAGGATAAAGGGTGGGTGGGATGGGAGTCGGGAAGCTGATAGGTTCCCTGTACATGGTTGGTTTTTTCCACCACCGCCCCATTCAGGAAACTGAGAACCACTGCTGTAGAGATTATAGGCAGAGACCCTAGTTTTAATCTATTGTACATTATGGGCCACCTATGCAACTCTCTCTGGGTGCGTCTAGACTGGCAAGATTTTGCGCAAAAACTTGCCAGCTGTCTACACTGGCCGCTTGAATTTGCGCAAGAGCACTGACTCTGTAATGTACAAAATCAGTGCTTCTTGAGCAAATACTTTCACTCTCCCGCTCGGGAAAAAGCCCTCTTGTGCAAGAATACTTGCACAAGAGGGCCAGTGTAGACAGGGAATAACTGTTTTGTGCAAAAAAGCCCCGATGGCTAAAATGGCGATTGGGGCTTTCTTGCGTGAAATCGCGTCTAGACTGGGCACGGATGCTTTTGTGCAAAAGCATCAGTGCTAATCTAGACGCGCTTTTGTGGAAATACTTTTAACGGAAAAACTTTTCCGTTAAAAGTATTTCTGCAAAATCATGCCAGTCTAGACGCAGCCATCGTGTTAAAGAAGCCACATCCATACAATATATATCCTTCCTGAGGATGTCTCATGGGCTGCCTCTGTGCTGATTGGGCCGCAAGAGGCCTGTGGTTAGTGGGTTGAGAACCACTGCTGTAGAGTGGTGCTGGTTGTCCATGATCAAGCCCCAAATGACCTTAAGAGCTCTGAAGGAGTGTTACAAACTCCTCAACGGGCATTTGTGTGTGTTTGCGCCAGCACTGGTTTAGCAGGGACAGAATTCCCTGTTGTGTACCATTGGTTCTCAAAGTTGGCAGGGGGTAGATTGAGGAGCCGGCGGGGGAGAGGTTCTGCATCTTTACTGACTGCCAGAGAGCATCACGACACTCGTGAAATAGAGCCTTGCTCTCCATAAGATGGGCTAGGGAGATTGAGTCCAGTCAGCTCTTCCCTTGTAATTTCTACAGGCCTCTACACCACTACACAGTGACTGTGAAATAATGCCAGATTAGAACGGTAGGCTTCTGTTCCTTTGCATTAGAGGGGTGGGATGGTGCGTGGGGCAGGGAGGACAACCCGAAGTACAGGAACCATGCTTCAAGCATCACATGTTTGTGCAAAAGGGATACAATTCAGAATCCGAAAGAATACACAGGACAGGTTGAACCTCTCTAGTCCAGCACCTCTGAGACCTGACCATTATGGGACCAGAGAATTTGCTGAACCACGGTAGTTCAATATTGTCTAGCAGCATTACCCACCCTTCCACTGCTCCCTGGGCTCTTAGAAGATATTCGGGGTAAATTAGAGCTAAATCACAGCACAGAGTACTGAGCGCCAGGACTGGTGGCTGTAAACAAACTTGCTGGGACCGCAGGAAACTTGGCCACGCCCATAACTGGACATCCAGCCAACTAAAATCATGCCGGACCATGGATGTTGCTGGGCATAGAGTGCCGGACTAGAGAAGTTCAACCGGTAGTAGCTTCTGCGTATTATTCCCTTCTAGGTCTACGTCTAGACTGCATCTCTCTGTCGACAGAGGGATGCAAATCAAGCACCTTGAAATTGCTAATAAAGCATGGGATTTAAATATCCTGTGCTTCATTAGCATAAACATGGCTGCCACTTTTTTTCGAAACTGAGCTTTTTTGAAAAAAACCTCGCAGTCTAGACGCAGCTCTGTCGAACATAAACCCTTTTTCGACAGATCCTGTAAACCTCATTTTTTGAGGAATATAGGATCTGTCAAAAAAGGGTTTATTTTCGACAGAGCTGCGTCTAGACTGCGAGGTTTTTTTCAAAAAAGCTCGGTTTCGAAAAAAAGTGCCAGCCATGTTTATGCTAATAAAGCATGGGATATTTAAATCCCTGCTTCATTAGTAATTTCAATGTGCCTAATCTACATCTCTCTGTCGACAGAGAGGCGTCATCTAGACACAGCCTGGGTTACTTCAATAAACATGCCAATTAAGCCACACGAAAGTTTGATCTACAGCTTTTGCTTCCTGTGTCAGGACAAGTGCTCTGAGTTCACCTATTGCACAGCACCGATTTGCCATGCAGAGGAATCCTGCCATGCTGCCCCCTTCAATAACGTAGCTTGAGGACAAGATTTCCAAAAGTGACTCCTGATTTTTCGGTGTCCAGCTTGAGATGCCTTGACAGAGTCTGATTTTCAAAAGTCTCTGCAAACCAGGCCCGTAGGAGGTGGCCCACTTTGGGCATCCTGGATCACATTTGAAAACCTGGATCCCAATCCACTTAGCATCTGCATTAAAAATATCGCCTTAACAATTATAGCATCAAGGTAGCTCAGAGTTTCCCATGGCAGTAATTTTAGACCACACTAACCCATGGAGGACTATCCTCGTAGCTCCAATAGCACAGAGAACACATAGGAAACGACCACGTTCCCCGTCAGCAGGTGTGGCATTTCCTGGGAGAGTGCTGGAGAGTTAAAGTTTTTACTAGTTTATCCTCTTGCCCTATAATTTGGCTAGAGAAGTGAATCCAACGTTGCCAGGTTTCTTTCATCTCTGCTCACTAGTTTGGGAACACACCTGCTCTCTGAGCCTTGGTCTACCCAAGGGGGTTATTTCAAAGTAACTCCCTAATTTCAAAATAAACGGAGCATCCACACTATCAAGCCCGTTAGTTCAAAATAGCAGGCTGTTGAAATCTGTACTCTTGCTTTCTTCAGGGAATAACGCTAATTTTGAAAGAGCAGCAGTGTGGACGCTCCAGTGCTCGCTTTCTGCAGGGAATAACACTAATTTTGAAAGAGCGGCAGTGTGGACGCTCCAGTGCTGCTATTTTGAAATAATGACTCCCCAAAGTAATTGAAAGTAATTGCTCTTCAGTGCTTCTTGGGGCTTTAAGTCAAGGCAGCCCATCCACAATAATGGAGCTGGCCTTCGAGGACGGACTTACTATTTTTATTTTGTTATTTTGGGAGTTATTTTGAATTCATTTATTTCTAAATTTCCTGGTGTAGACACCCCCTGAATGCCCAACTGTTTTCTCTCTTCCTCCTTGGCAGTTGTTTGGCAGTGGATTGCTTAACTCCTCCTCGTCATGGTCCTAATTTCAAAACCGCTCCCCCTCTCTTCCCCGCCTGATGTTTGTTGACACCCTTTCTATGTTGTTCTTTTAACTTTACAAAAGCAGAGGCATTTTCTACATTCAGACTCAATGTGTTGCACCAGTCGGAGGCTGGTGGATGAATCTGATGGCAGGATTGGGCCCCAAGATATTAACATTTGCCATCAGGGATGACTTGGAGAATTACAGCCTCGTTGCTTTCTACCTTGAAATTGTCTACTTATACCAGAGACCTGATTGTTTTTGCATTAACAGCACCATGTTTTTTAAAGGCATCCGGGTCAAGGGAAGGAATTCAAGAGAACTTCCCACTTCAGATTCTGAGTTTCTAAGCCATGTGATCTGGATTGGCCTTCTTCCCATGTTTGCTAACCCCCTGCTTCTTTTCAAACTGTCCTTCTCTTCCTCTGAGCTAAATTCTGCCCTAATAATTTTAGCAGAACCAAACAGAAAGCAAAGAGAAGCATGCGTTCCCTGAGGTTAGCGGAGACAGGGTGGCTGTTTAAAATGTTAAAGGACTCCTAAACTTGCTTTCCCTAAAAGCACACTGAAACACTCAAGGCCCTATCCAAAAACTCACACATGCCTTCTGTTTTTGAAGACCTTTCCAGGAGGTTTCCTTTCCTAGATACACTATGCTCTGCTGCCAGGGGAATGGATTTGGTACTTCGCTCCAGGCACTTTCTGGTCCAAAAATTGCTGTTTGGACCTTTTTGCTCCCTTTGCATCTCAAAGATTAGCTGCAGAAGGAAACACTAAAATATTGCCTCTGTTTGTTGGACACTGCTTTACACCTGCCGATTCAAAGATGCTGACCTGGTATTTCCCCGCAGACTGAAGGAGTTGGGGCAGCTATGAAGAATAAAGTCGGTTGGTTTTTTTTTTTCTGGAGATTTGTGGTTCCAGCTCCCTGCCAGAAACTCTCGCCCTTTATCCCATCCAACTGTTATGATTGACTGCACTGCTTTTTGGAAATAGCGAACAGTTTCCTGGGTGCCGTCTCTTGCTCTCACTATTGCTGGAGCTGCTTCACTCCATCAAGCAGTTTTAACTGTATACTAATTGATTTGACTTCCTTGATAGAATAATTCAGAACAGCTGCCTGGCTTCCCTCCACTTTCCTTGCCCTCGGACTTTCACTGACCCCCAAAATATTCCCAATTAGAGTTCCAAAGGCTAATGATAATCCCCTGATTATGTGCAGAAAGAAGGGGCACAGTCACTTTTGAATTGGTTGTATGAACTGGGTAGGCAAATGCACAGTAATGCAAATACAAACTTAAGGTGTAAAAAGCTATACTCTTCCCTGTGTCAGATCAACACACAGCAGCCTTTCTCTGATACATGGGCTGTTTGCCTGTCTGCATCGGTTTTTATCATGTTGCCCATCTCCATCATGTCCAAATGCCTTGAGAAGTAAACACTACAGAGTATCTTTCTCCCTCTGTTCCAGCCAAGCCAGCAGCGGCAAGCTGAGAGTCAGAGTTGTGATGTCACGTGGTATAGGATGTGGGAGGATGTGCAACAGTTGCAATAAAGTCTGGATTTTTCTCATTGCTGGTGCTCTGTCCCCCATTGAAAGCTTGTTGTGCTCAGCACCTGTTTATAACGGGTCGCAAGGGTCTTAAAGTTAAGCTCATGCTTTAAGAAGGGGGGGGCGCAAAGGGGGCAACTACCACGGTGCCCAGTGATTCAAAAGGGTCCGGATGCTGCTGTATTGTGACAGCTGTGCAGGATGGAGCTCTGGGCTTTTTAACCTTCGGCCAGAGCCCCCGCCCCCTCCTGGAGCACAGAGCCGGCCTCCCCAGCCTTGCCTGGGGGCACGGCGAGTCTCTCGCTCCTCTGCTTGTGAGCTTTGCTGAAACAACCCAGAATCCAAATGCGTTTCCCGGTTTATCTCTCTCTGCATGTCTCGGGCCTTTCGGTGTTTTTCTTTCACTCGTTTACCATCCATCTTGCTAACTCTCCTCTCCCCTCCCGCCCCTCTTCTCCAGGCCATGGCGATGGGAATGATGACCGAATACTACCACTTCATCTTCACCCTGCTTGTGAGCTTTGCTGAAACAACCCAGAATCCAAATGCGTTTCCCGGTTTATCTCTCTCTGCATGTCTCGGGCCTTTCGGTGTTTTTCTTTCACTCGTTTACCATCCATCTTGCTAACTCTCCTCTCCCCTCCCGCCCCTCTTCTCCAGGCCATGGCGATGGGAATGATGACCGAATACTACCACTTCATCTTCACCACTCTGGTAAAGTATCCAATCGATGCCACTCCCTGTCCTGTCCCCGCGGGCCGTGAATGGAATGTGAGCAGGTGCTGTGTGTAGTCCAAGAGCCATACAGAATGCTTTTCTCTGGGGGTGTCACTGTGGGAGTAGGGAAGGGAGTGGACGTCTATTAACATACCAGTGACCAGGAGGTTTTACTTAGCTTTGGTCTAAAGTCAGGTTTTTTGGGTTTTTTTAAACCCGCCATCTCACTGAAGCATCACATCACAGCTCCCGATAACAGACACCTTGATTCTCCTCTCACGCTGCTTTTCACCTCTCCACCACATTCGTTTCTCTGGAGTTACTCCGGATATGCATGAATGAAGGCGCGAAGAGAGCCAGGCCCATCACTTAGATTCAACAATTTCTTCCCATAATTTTGATCTCTGTGCGACTGCTCTCAGGCCGAAAGCTGAGCCTTGTGCACAAGGGCCTTATCCTTAGGGGATGGGATTTGTGGGTGCTGAAATTCAACTGTCGATGGGAACCTCTCTGCCTGAGAACTGCAGCCTAATCCTCCTCCCGGCAGTCAATAGTTCTACATGGCAGGTTTATTTTGCATAAGAACTCCTCGTCTTGAAATTCTCTTCAGTCTCATTAAACATGGGCCAGTTCCCCTCTGACTCTGAGACATCTTTCTTGGCATGTGTTTTATTTTAGTTGTTGTTGTTTTAATTTAGGATGTTATTGTCTAGGACTCTCTCTCCTGAATTTGGTATAATGTTAAATTCATTTATCTTTCCCCTTTAGGAAAGAAACATAATAGACTAACCCTTAAAATGTGCCCAACTTATTTTTCAAATGCAAAAGACATTTTAATTACTCCGACTGCCATTATCTATTCCAGGCAGCTTTAAGCAGTTCCCAGATAACTTCCTATTAATCAGCCCCAGCTGAGCCTAGTACATCTCGGGTAGGTAAAGCCTGGAGGTGTGTGGGGCGGGGGAGGGGGAAGAATGATAATAAATTAATAGATAAGCAATCACAATGAATGCCACTTTCCAGAAAGAAGTTACACCATGGGGAAGATGTTTTAATCTACTGTTCCTGACGGCAATGTTTTCCTAGCGTGTCATGCACATTCTCCAGCTTCGACTGCACTAGCCCCATGGGGTGCTAATGAATTAGTCTATGTTGTGATGGTGAATGTTTCTGAAAGGTCCCTCGTGCGGGCTGAGCGCACGGTATTCGCTTTGCTCCTCGGACAACAGTTGAAGCATTCCATGCCATGTGTTGAGTTCGGCATGCAGGTCCTCCTCCCCGCCCCACCCCCGATCTTCCTCTGAAGAGAAATGGGAGCCAGGATCCTGCAAGATGCACTGAGAGGCTGTTTAGTGTCAAGCAGAAGATTGAGGGTTGGATCCAGCAAGATGCTTGGTACTTTCAGGTCCAGTTGGGATCAGTGGGACTTGAGACTTGTAGGATGGTGTCCATACAAAAGGCAATCTCCCTACTGCAGCTGGCTGAGGGTAGTTGTAGCCTGCCAAATTATATCTGCCCTATTCTATCTTGTTTTTAATAGATAGCTAGTAACGCAAGGAACCTACAGAGTTAACTTTGTAGCTTTAGCAAAAATATATATGGAAAAGATGGTAGCTTTATTAATAAGTTAAGCTTTATTTTTTTGGTATTTTCCAAGAGAGGTAAGTCTAGACGGCATCCCTCTGTCAGCAGAGGGATGCAGATTAGGCAGGTCGACATTGCAAATGAGGCAGGGATTTAAATATTTTTCGACAGATCCTGTAAACCTCCTTGCAGGAGGCATAAGGAATCTGTCAAAAAAATCTTTCTTTCTCAACAGATCTCCCTCTAGACTGCCGCTTTTTGCCGACAAGGTGCTGAGTCGGCAAAACGTGGTGGCCATTTTTATGCAAATTAGGCACGGGATATTTAAATCCCTGCCTCATTTGCAATGTTGACCTGCCTAATCTGCATCCCTCTGCCGACATAGGGATGCAGTCTGGACATACCCGAGGTGTGTTAGGCAAGAGATTTTTGTGGCGTGACTGGTTATTTCTTAATTTTAATTGGAACCAACAGGAAAATCTGCCAACTAGTATTAACTGGTTTTGAAAAACTCAGGTGCCAGATTTCCTGGACGAAACTGCAGGTTCCTGCTTCTTTTTGGCCGTTCTGGGATGTGACCCAAGAAAATGTCATTTATGTCTCATACATATTAATGGACTCCCCTCCGCATTTTTTCTAATCTGAGATAGCACCCACAGAAATCTTAGGGTACCAAGCCCAACTCTGGGCAAGGGGTTGAACATCCGGAATATTGTGGTGCCAAAAAGAGTATATAGACCCAGAAAATTGGGAGTTTCAGGCTGCTGCTTCAGCCCTTGCTGACAGGGCCCATTCCGGAGCGTTGTTTATCTTAAGGTCAGAAACCAAATACTTCTCTCTATTCTGTCTGTATTTCTATCTTGCTTCTCTTATTTTGTTTAAGTTTTGCTTTTAAGTTTTGCTTTTACCTACTCCAAGGCCTTTCAGGAAAAGGGAGGCTGGTCCTTCCATGCCCAGCCTTTGGAAACATTAAGAGCCTGTGGATATAAGATATTGTTAAATGATTAATCTCCATATACCTAGATAAGTTTTAGTTTGATTTTGTTAATACCATCTGGGGAAGGTATTCAGTAATCTGTGTTCTTACTGCCATATTTGTTGTAGTTTTTATAATCATCATTCCAAGTGGCAATAAAATTGGTTTTCGTTGCATTTCCTGATTCTGCCATATTTGTTGCGGTTTTTATAATCATAATTCCAAGGGGCAATAAAATTGGTTTTCGTTGCATTTCCTGATTTACAGTGTAATTGCTGTCGATCGTCTGCAGAGGGGGAATCTTATGGTTCCACCCCACTGTAAGATGGGATAGAGAATGAACTTCTGATCAGGCTGGTGAGCCTTATCCCCAATACTCCATAGCCCCTTCTAGGCTACATAGTTAAGGAAAGCCGGGGATTCACACCAACTGTGCTTAGGGTCTGGGCACCGAGTTCAGAACATGCCCCGCATCCCTGTTAAACAGCACCTCATCAAGTGGGAGCGTACACTGGCCGAGGGGCAAGAATAAAGGGGAAAAGAGCGGCGTACTCCACTGATCCAGTGGAGCTCAAGATCTCCTCCCCGCATTGGGCAGCTCTGAAGAGGGCTCGTGCTTAACGCCCAAGCAATCTGTGGCTGTGTGCGCTTCAAAGCAGGAGTGAAGTACCAGGAGGACTCCTTACAGAGCTAGAAGCCCAAGTGGGGAATTGCACAGCTGGGGAATTGAGGTGGCCGCTGGTAAATGCGGGATCCACTCTAGGACAACCAGGGTTGAGGGAAATGAGGTCAAGAGACAGAAGGGCCTGGAGGTGACGGGGTGGGCCCTGGTTTTCCTGGCACCTAAATTAAAATCGAACCTCATTACCCTAATCATTAGACACCTCCATTAAACTGGACTGGCTTTCAGCTGTAGAGACAGAAGGGCCTGGAGGTGACGGGGTGGGCCCTGGTTTTCCTGGCACCTAAATTAAAATCGAACCTCATTACCCTAATCATTAGACACCTCCATTAAACTGGACTGGCTTTCAGCTGTCCCTGTTAAGTTGCACATTGGAAAGGGGGGGGATGGTATTGAAACACCACCTGCCTGACCTCCTGTTCACTGCAGTAGTGTCTAGAGGCCTACACCAAATTCAGGACCCCACGGCACGAGGTGACCTCCAGTCACAGGCCCCGTCCACCAACCCTGCCAGCCCCAAAGAACACCCCTGAAGTCAAAGGGGATTGGTCAGCACAGATGTGGTCGCCAGATTTGGACCACAACAAGATTCCCGCCCCTTCCTGTGACACAATAGAGCTCTGTGAAGTCTGTCCTGGGAAGCAGAGCTTCCGCTAGGACCCTTTGGCCGGGAAACATCAGGGATGTAGAAGCTGCTCGGTAACTCTGACAAGCCCTGTTCCCCAGAACGAGGGTGGAGGGACGAATCTGAAGCACCAGAGTCTGTGACTGAAGGAAAAGGTAGATGAGCTGGAAAATGGAAACAGATGCTCCAAGTTGCAGATATTGGAGAGGCAGGAGATGAAGGTCTGGGAGGAACTAATCTGGTGATTATTTTTCCTTGCAATTTTTGCAACTCTGCTTGAATTCTTAATTGTCCTTTTCTCTCTAGAAGCAGGAGACTCAGATTTCTGCAGAGATGAAGGAGAGTAAAAAGCTCAGGTTGGCCTAAATCAGGCTCTTGGAGTGAAGGGCTACTGGAAATAGCCACACCCAACGTACGGGCATGGTCCGAAAGGAGGCCCGTGCAGGAGGGGTGGCAGAGAAGGGAATAGAGAGAGATGAGGTCCTGGAGGTCAGCTGGAGCTAGCTGGATGGACTTTGCCGTGTACAGTTAAAGCTGTGGAAGAGAATCTGCTAGCCTCAAAGGAATTCACCGTATCTTTTCCTCCAAAGCACTAAAAAAATATAGTCTGGGTCTAAAAATTCTGATTGCCGGTACAGTGCAGAATACAAAAATGATTCCACTCGGGCTGAGCAATGGACTAACCCCATAGGCTGAGAGGAAGATGGTCTGGACCAGTGTTCCCTCTAACTTTACCCATCCATGTGCGGAATAAATTCTATGTGCACTTAGGCATGCAGAAATGTGCACCAGCAGTAGAAACACATGCTGCTGGCAGCGGGCGCTCTGCCAATGAGCTGGGAGGCATTTGAATCTCTCCTGGATGGCTTCTCAAGTGCACAGATTACCAGGAACACTGTTCTGGACCATACTAACCCTGGTGAGATTAACCTTCTGCACACTGATTTCAGTCACCAGGCATCAGTTAGAAGCATTTAAGTCTGACTTTCCACAGGATTGCTGGTTTTCTGACCATGCAATTGTTTGTAGGTGTGACTCGGGACTGGCATCGGGCCTGCACTTTGAGGGTACAAAATAGGGAGCCAACATTTTAAAACAATCAGGCCCTAAAAGCTTGACGAGGCCCAATA